TATCTAAACTACAGAGACCCTGTCTCAAAATAGCCAAAATGAAAAATAAATAAACAGTAAAAAAAAATTTTAAACATATTTATAATTTTATTATTAAAGTCCTAATATGCTCAAATCCCCAGCACCACACAAAAACAGATGTAGAACCACAGACATGCAATCCCATCACTTGGAAAACAGAGGCAGACGGATCAAAGTTCAAGATCATCTTCAGCTATTGAGTCTGAGATCAATCTGGGCTGTAAGAGTTGGTATGGGGGAACCTTTGGGTTCCCTACCTGAAGTAATAGTACTTGTCACCAAGCCTAACGACCCAAGTTTAATCCCTGGACCCATATGAGAGAACAGATTCCACATAGTTGTTTGCTGACCTCACCACACACAGTAAAGAGTGAATTTGTTTTTAAATAAAAAAGTAGTGAAGTGTTACATAAAAAAGTAATAAAGGTAGTTGTGTTGGTTTAATTATTAATCAAGAGAAGTTAATGTTGATTGGTCAGCTACTAATTTCTTAGATATGACACTGTAAAAATACAGAAAAATCTCTTTACTCTTATTATGACATGTACACTGAGAAATTCAGGTGTTAGTGTCACATTATCAACATCTCACTCTCACACAGAACCTAAAAATTCAAATATTCAAATAAATAAAGCTAATAAGGTAAGGGTTTTTTTTTTTTTTTAAACTGAATCCAATTATAATGGGTACTTACATTTTTGTAATTTTTCATATTCTGGTGAAGGCAAGCATAGTAGTACTTACCAGTAACTCTAGTACTCAAGAAGCTGAGGCAGGAGAACCTAGAGCCTCCGGGTTAGACTAAGCTACACAATGAGAGCCTTGTCTCAGGAGGAAAAAGGTTGGGACAGAGTTGATTTACATACAGATAATTATCTTACCAGTATTACTGACTATATTTAAGTAGTAGTTCTTCAAGCTGTTATTTTCTACTTCAAATTATCTTTGTTTGTTGTATTCCCTGCCAAAAATACTTACATGAAGTTTCACAAAGCAAGTAATGCCTACTTTCTCATGATATATACATATATGTATATATGTATACATATATGATATATATACATATATATATATATCATATATATCAGAAAAGCTGCTCCAAAGAGAAAGAAAAATGGCTGTTTATACAAATCTTAGTAAATCACAGGAAAAAAGGATACTTACTCCTCTTTAAGTCTCTTTTGAAGCTTATCTTTTGAAAGTTTACTTTCGCTGGCATTTTTCATTATATCTTTCCGAAACCGATTGTTCACCATGTCAACTCTATGAAGTATAGAACAAGCATATTTTAAATGATCTGCAAAAGGCCATCATAAAATGGTGCTGATTTTGATAGTCTGAAGAAGCGATCACTAAACAATGAAGTTAAAGAGTGTAAGATGTGGAGTATTTCATATACATGTTCTCCATTCCTCCTCATACAGTCTGGAGAGCTAGTACTTAAGAAAACTCATCCTTAATTATCTGGAGTGACACTTCATGTCATTCTCCAAAATATTCCAGGCAAGTCAAATACACAAAAAAGTAAATCATCAAATACTGCCTGTATTTTATAGACAAACAGCAGTCTAATAAAGGACATTTTACTGTTAAAAAACAAAAATAAAAACAATGAATCAAAAGATTCAAAGATCTGACTATCTAAAACTTGAAAATCTCTGTGCTTAAAAAAAAATAAAGAAAACATTTGGTAAATATGACACAAAGGAATGGAGCTCAATAGTAAAGTACATGTTTAGAATGCACAGACCCTGGGTTCAATCTGTAGCAAATAAAAGTTTGAAATTCTTATTAAGAAATCTGAGACACTGGGGTCTCTAACAAAGACAACAGAGAACACATATAATATGCATAACTAGTATCAATTTCCCCCAACACAATTTAAGTAGGGTTATTTTCCTATAGAACTAAGAAAGTCTGCAAAATAACACTCACTGATCATAGAAAAAGAAAATAAAAACCTGAAACCCATGTTACATGGGGAAGATAAACCTTCGGGAAGTCTAACAGTATCAATCAATAGCCCTAAAATATAGTCTTTGGTCAAATAATAATATCCCCAAAGAATCTTTAAGAAATTAATTAGAAATGCAAAAGGTTTTTCATAAAGATGTTTATGTTAGCATTCTTAAATGAAAAATAGAAAAATTTATTTGTTTAATAAATTTTGATTTATGCAAGGGACAACACAGCCATTTAAAGCTGTTCATAAAGGTCTTTTTCAAAAGTGAGGTGCCATGCTTCAAATATAACTTTTAGATAGAAAAAGTAAAACCGTTAAAGTATGTAGTATACACTCATATAACACAGTGTGCTAACTTTACGTCAAGTCTTCACTGAGTTTCAGGCACTATGCTAAAAACTCTATATGCACCACTTAATCCAAACGACCCTCTGATATAGTCAGCAGTCTCAGAGCCTTTCTCTCAGACACAGAATTACGAACCACCTTTCCCCTGCACTTCCAAATGTTTGATTATTCATATAATCATACTTTCCAAGACAATGGTTTGTAAAAATCTACAAGTTAACTTTTAAAGTGTCCGGAGGGACTCTGAAAGGAATGGGTAACTTACATTTCCTCATCTTCATCATCTTCATCCACCCACACTGGCTTTTTCTGAGAAGGGAGATTATCTGTGGCTTCATCTTCCACTTCAGAGTCATCTGAGCTTCCATGTAGGTGACCCTAAAGAGACATACCATCTTCAAGCCACTGTGCTTTTCCTATGGGGTGGTAGCAGACACCCACACCTTAGACTTAGATGGCTTGTAGAATGCTTTGCTTTCCTGGTCTGCTGATGAAATAATGTGATGGAATACGACCATAACACATGCTGAAGGAGAAGGCAGGAAAGGAGGTCAGAACCACCAGAGAGGGACAGGAGAGGTAGGATGGAATAGCCAAGGAAAAGACCACAGTAGACCAGGGAAAAAGGTAAGTGGACAGGTAAAGAACAAACATCTATACTTCAACTACTACAGCACCTGGGGCCATCTAGAATCCTGCACAACATCATCTGTCTCCTACCCTCACTAAGGACGATCTCTTGTTCTGTGTGCTTGTTCTCAAACTCCTTAAAACTTTATACAACACTCAAGCCTAAAACTAGCCCACAAGGAAAAATGTCCCTTGAAATGAGCTGAACTTTCCCCCACCCACACCAGTATCCACCTGCACTACTGACATAAGATCTTTCAAAGCCCACCAAAGGATTCCTGTCTGACACACAACTGTCTGTCACACCACTCAGAAAATAACTGTTCTCCATCTCCCAAAGGGAACTGCTACACGCTTCCACTGAAGCACCCACACAAAAGGTCAGCTTAATTCAGCAAATGCTGACATTCTTGAGGCATTTCACAGCCCTACCTTAAAAAAAAAAGGCTCCACATAAATTTAATTCCCTTCCCCAAATGTTTAAATGTTTTTGATTTTCCTCTCCACCATCGTACTTTAACTTTACTAGTCGTCTCCTTTATCTTCCATGAGAGCAGGGGGGTTTATTGGCTTTCTCCATTGCTGTCTCTCCCTCCGGAACCTAGAACAATACGTGGGGCTCTCTACCTTAGACGAGGGACCGACCAGGTATAGAAGCAAAGGAATGACAGCGCAAAATTGTATCAATCACGAAGGACTTGTAACTGCTACGAAGAAGAGTCAGCATCCAAAAAGCGTTAGAGGCGAATACACTGATCATTCTCAAAAAGCTGGGCGTGTGCATCACACGGACAAATTATTTGTAAAAATGCAGCTTTACGCCTTCTGCCCACGTCATTGTTTCCATCCACGAAATGGAATCGCGACAGGTGAGCACACGGCCAGCCCTGTGGTTGCAGCGGAGGGTATCAGACCCCGAAGATGCCCGACTCCAGACTGCAGGCAACCCTTCCGGCAAATCGAGGCAGCAGTCGGGCGCAGGCTGGATGCCGAGTGCCGCGGCCCCTTTAGGGCGGAGAAAGACAGCGTCTCCGCCCTCGCCAGCTCGGCGGAGAGCGCAGCGGTGCCCCTCGGCGCCCGCGGTCGCCCGTCCCTCCCACCTGAGCGCTCGCCGCCGCAGGTCCCCCCAGGCTCCGCCCCCGGGGCCTCCCGCCTCCCGCCGCGCGCCCGGCGGCAGCGTGTGCCCGCAGCGCCAGCAGGCCTCCCTCACCCGCGAGCTCCGCAGCCGCCGCAGCAGCGCGTCCTCGTCGTCCTCGACGTCGCCGAAGACCAGCTGCTCCAGGCACCGCTCGGCGGCCGGCTTGTCATCCTCGAGCGTCAGGCGGTTCCGCTGCCGAAGCCGGCTCTCCTCCTCAGCCGCCGCCGCCGCCGCCGCCGCAGTGACCGCGTTAGGGGCCGCCCTCTGCCCGGCCTGCGGTGTCCGTTGGGATGAACGGGCGGCCTTTCGGGGCGTGTCGCCGCTCCCGGGCCTGGCTTTCCTCCCTGGCATCGCGCCGGCTCTCCGGTCAGGTTTCGTCCGGCTCCTGCGTTCCGGCGGCATCCTCAGGTCTGCAGAGAAACGCAGGCGTTCACGTGGAGCACCACTGCGCATGTGCCAGGGCGTCTCGCTCACCGCCGCGGCCCAGCCCCGGGGAGCCGGAAGGAGCCTGCGCCGCCTCGAGCCACGTGACCGACGCTCACGCGCTACGTCACTCCCTCTCAGCCCGACAGCCCCTCCCCGTGTGGGAGTTCCTCGGGGAAGGCCAATCTTCCGGGTGTAGGGGGAAGCGGCGTGACTGGAGTGGAAAATTTTCCCAACACAACTTCTCAGAGGCCACCTATTGGAAGGGACTCAAGGAGGCCGGGGTAGAAATGAAAGTGGCTGAGAGAAACTCCTCTTCCTGCTGACTCCGGACCCCACGCCTTGCCGCGAGCCCTCATTACCTCATCGCCTTCGGGTTTTGGTACGGTCCTTAGAGTACGGAGCCTGCCGAGGGTCCCACGCTGGAGGGGAGAGAGGAGGGTACGTGGGGAAGTGGGCCAATCGGGGCGCGGGTCACGGCGCAAGCGCGCTGAGGAGGGAGGGCTATGCTAATGTTGTTGATATCCTGGGGCCACCCGAGTTAAAGGGGGGAAATCCGGGGGCTGCCACTGCCGCCACTGGCCCGGGCCCAGCCGGGGGTCCCCCCCTGTAGTCGCCGCAGTCCCGGGGAGAGGCGTCCGCCCCCTGCTCGGGAGGGAGGGGGCGCCGCGGGCTCGGGGAGCACGGACGGCCCCTACCCATGAGGCCCTGATGGAAAACACAAAGGATCTGGTGAGAGCCGAGCGCAGCAGCCGCTTTGTGTGCCAGGTGGGGGGGACGCCTGCAGCTGCCCGGCCCCAGGAACCCCGCAGCCCCGGGACCCCGCTCGCGGGCCTGTTCACCCCACGCCCCCTCCATCCCCAGAGCTCCCCTCCCCCTGCTGGCCGTTAAACGTTCAAGGGGTTCCCCTCCCCCCCTCAACTTCTGACTTGGGGTTCTCTCTACTCTCTGGGAGAAAAAAAAATGAGAAGAAAGTTTTTCTCTGCCCCCCCCCACCACCACGATCACCCCGTTCTGGCTGAAGAGAAAGACTGGATTGGAGACTTTTCCTTTTTTTTTTTTTTTTTTTTTTTTAAGCTGCCAAGAGTGGGAGAGTGGTGTCCTCTCTTCCCTGGGGTGTGGGGGCAGGCGCATACAGAGTTTGAGGGCTTTGCAGGGGAAGGAGCCCACTAGTGCGGGGCCAGTGCCGGGAGGCATTTTGCACGTGGAGGTGCTGATATTGAAAGGGGGCGGGGTGGGCACGTGTGGGAGGGAGACGTGGGAGTGGTGTCGGGGAGTCGGCGGCCAGGGCTGCTGCTTCAGAAGAGTTCCAAAGCGGTGGGCTTCCATCATCCTTTCGTTCTCCTTTGTGAACTAGAAATCCTAACATTTCAGAGTCGGAAGAGACACTAGAAGTCACCCAAAGCAGCCGCCCCTGTCCAGCTTCTGACAAGTGGTAGGTAGTCTGACCTCTACTTAAACCTGCATACATAATGACACGCACTACCGCCAAGGAAAGCGCCTTCCATTATTTTTCAGTCCCTCTGATACTTATTCGTCTGCCCTTATTAGACCCTTAAGCCTCATTCATGTCCTGGTTAAGTTGCTCCCTTTTTTACTTCTCAAATTTGTTCTCACATCCTCCTCACCCACCCACTGCTCATTGGCCTATATTTTCCTGCCAGGAGAAGAGCAGGGAAGTGGAGGAAGGGGGGTGGGGAGAGTTAAGAGATAGTGAAGGCCAACTGAAAACTTTACTGGGTCGGTTGCAAATGTGCTGCTTACATGACTAAAGATGGTTGATAGTGGGTTTTCATGGTTGTCTCACTGGTATTCTTGAGATTAGGAATTTTAACGCCTTTTCTTTAGTATTGTCAGTGTACATTTGTCTGTGCCTGAATCACTTTTCCTAAGAATGTCTAAAATTGGGCCTAGGAGGGAATAGTATTGAAGCTGACAAAGGCAATTACCGGTAAAACAAATGGTCAGAACTGTTCTTTCCCATCGATTTGACTTGTGATCTTTGCAAACCCAGTCTCCTCCAAAAAGGGAAGGCTCGGTGTCACAAAGGTTTTTTGTTTTTCAATTACTTACTATGGGGTAGGGTGCTACCTTGGGGGAGTCAGAGGACAGGTTGAGGTCATCATCTCTCCTGCCATGTATGGCCCAGGAATCAAACCCAGGTCATCAAGGTTGGCAGCAAGACTTTTACCTAGGTGAGCCTTTTTTTTTTTTTTTTTTTTTTTTTTTTTTTTTTTTAATGACAATTCTGTCTTATATGAGACTTAAAGTGTGTATAGCACGTTAATGTTTACTTTGGAGTTTTCAGTATTTCTAATCCTCTCTCTACATTAATATTCAACAGTGTTTGTCACCTAGTAGTTCACTTGCAAATACCTACCAGCACCCACTGATGTGCTTAACTCCCAGTGTCTCTTGTTACTGTTGAAGCAAATTTTTTCCTGTTCCCTAGCCTATGATAGAGCTGTTGCTTTGCTCTTGTGTGTTTCAGACTGTTTACCTCAACACCAAAGAGTGTTTAGCGGTTTTTGCACCACCTCCTCTGAATAACAAGTAGCTTCTATTTATATAAAACCCCATATTCAAGGATTGCAAATGCCTTGCAGATTAGGGCAAAAGCTGTCTTGAATAAGTGTCTGTTCATGATATCTTCTGGTGAGCCAAGGTTTTTAACCATTTTGTAACTTTATGTAAAGTATACAATGTTTTCTCTCAGGGCTGGTCACTAGCTTTTAATGGGGATTTGAAAATTTACAGAGCTCCTCAAAGTTTGAGTCAGTATGGACTTCCAAGTTTTTTGTTTTTTTTTTTTTTTTTTTTTTTTTTCCTGCTAACTTTAAACATGAACTGTCATGACATAATTTGACTGACTTTGCATTCTAAACATACTAGACAGGAACAACTGGTTTTATTTTTAAAGAGGGCATTGCTGTATTTTTATGGCTGGCTATACATGGATCTTATTAATCTTCCAGATACTCCAATGCTCCTTCTTGTCCCTTAGTTACTTTTTAAATTAAAAACAAAGTAAATTATTTCAAATTATGTTCAAACACAGTATTCAAACTAAAACATAATTGTTGTTTATAAGTATAAACAATATATTGATGTCATAACCATTAAAGTACTATAGTACCAAAAGCCAGGGGTGCTCAGGTGATCTGAATAAGCACATTCTAAAATAGAGAAGTCAACTGTTTTGAATTGTGCCCTATTCCTCACCTTTTCATCTTTAAAATTGTTTCCATGTCTATCTGGGCCAGAAATAGTGGTGTTTGCCTCTAATCCCTACCACCCAAGGGGCAGAGTATATAGCTTTACTTGGGCTATATAGTAAACTCCCCCCCCCCCCATTTCAGAAAAACAACAGAAGATTTAACCTTCGGCATAATAGTCAAAGACTATTGTCTTTAGTTTCAGGGTTTCAAGTACATGATAGTAAAAACCATAAAGACAGAAAATATTTTAAGTATTTACAAGCTTAGACTCATCTTCTCATAGGGTATCCTTAATGGTACCAGGTAACTTTTATTTTTACTAAAGATGCATGTTTTACTTTTAGGTTATTGTGGAGTTTTTGTTTATTGTTTTAAGGCAGGGTCTCAAGTATCCCTTCCTGCCCTGAAATTTAGTGTGGTTCATAGGTATGTACCACCATATCTAACTTATGTAGTGCTGGTGAGTGAGCCCAAAACTCCATGTGTGCTGAGCGCTGTTACTGACACTGTATCTATCCCCAGCCAAGAAATTACTATTTCTTAATCTTTATTAAGGGTCCTCCCCCATAAATTTACAGTTTCTCTTCTGGCTTTGCTAGAAAGCATAATGAAAGGTTAAAAGGATATATACTCACTTGAATAAACCCTTATTGTAAGAAAGGGGTGCAGTGATAAGGGAACACTAGTCAAGAGAGGCTTGATTTGTACTTTTGCCACTGTTGATCCCCATGACCTTGTGGGATAGCATCAGATGCCTTGATTTTCTTCTTATAGTTGAAGGATTGATATAGAATCATATGTTGATATCTAATAGAGCTTCTGCAGTGATGGAAACGTGTGCTAATTGTGCTAGCCAGTATGGAAGCCATCAACCTCAGTGGCTAATGGATGGAAACATTCAATATTTTATCATATTGTTTTTACTTGATGTCAACTTAAACAGCTATGTCTCTCCAAATTGAACATGTGGGTATTAGAACAATGTAATCACTGGTGTCATCTCTTAAAGACACTAGTTAAAAACACCCCTTTCCTTGAGGTAATTGTTGTTTAGTCCTACTATTACTTTGAGAATTTGTTGTAGGTCTGGTGTGTGTGTGTGTGTGTGTGTGTGTGTGTGTGTGTGTGTGTGTTACACATGTATGTGGAAGCCAAAGGGTGGATGGGTGTATGTGGGAGGGTGGGTGTGTTAAATCTATATATGTGGAAGCCAAAGGCTGACATTGGGTGTTTTCTTAATTGTTCTCTACTTTCTTTCTGAGATGAGGTCTCTAACTAAAGACCTCAGGGATCTGCTTGTCTCCGCCTCACTGTTGTGACCTCTTTCATGCTGTGGAGGAAAATCTGAACTTGGATCCTAGTGCTTGGGCAACAGGGACTCAGCCATCTTCCCAGCCCAGTTTTATTTCTTGAGACAAAGTCTTATTTAATAGCCCAGGCTGGCTTTGCCTCAGCTTCCAAATTACAAGGGTTTTAGGTGTGTGCTCCAAGCCCTGCCAAGAATCTGTTTAATGTGTGACCCAGAAAGTTTTTCTTAATAAGCTAGTTAGGGAAACACTAAGTTTGGTTCTGAATTCCCTTTTGCTTTTCACCCTGACTTGAGTGTTAATTTAGAATTTAATGTCCTAGAATAAGGTCTGAACAAAGTAGGTAAGCTGGCTTGACTCTAGCTCTGACTTTGTTTTATTCTAAAAGTAAGTTGCCTACTGTTAGAGCTTCCTTGTCTTCATCTGAAATACGGGTTAGAATCAAGTCTTAATCTTTTCATAGGGTTTCTGTAAACTTCCACCTGAAGATGTGATGATCACTGCACTTAAAAAGTGAGTAAGTTAGTTTCTTCCCCGATCTCCTTTTACTGTATAATTGCCACCCCTATTATAAAGCTGCTTATAATAGTTTATTTGACCCTACTTTGTAGTCTAGTCAAAGAAAGACATACAACGTCTAGTAGATTTTTATATTTCTGGTGTTTGACATTGTAGTTTACAGACTAGTTCCTATTTACTTTTAGACCTTAAATTTTTTTTTTTGTTAAATTGTTACACATGGGAGAAATACGCCTTGTATACATTATGTGTATCTAAGTCAGTATTGGTTAGCATATATTCAGTAATTACTTAACTTTTCATTCCATTTGTATTGATTTATTTATTGTGTGTTTGTATTTTATGTGTGTGGGCATGTGCATGCCATAGCATGTGTGTGGAGGTCAGAAAACTGCTTGCAGCCTTCCACTATCTAGGTCCCTGGAACCAAACTCAGGTCATCAGGCTTGGTGGCAAGTTTCCCTCTACCCAGCTTACCAATCATACATGTCTTCTGAACATCCTGTTCCAAATATATTTTTAAAGGATAAATGCACCAGTGATATAGCTAAATGCTATGCTTGCCTAACATTTGCAAGGCCATGGGTTTAATCCCCAACATACACACACACACACAAAAAAATTAAACCATGGTAATGATCTTTGAGAACCTCTAGGCTACTGTGAGTCCTAATTTTTATAAAACCATGTTATTTTTTAGTTAGATTATCAGGTTCATACTTAGTTTCATAACTTTTTTTCCTGAAAAACTAAAAAAGTCCATTTGTAGTAATGTCCTTTCTTTGCAGTATATTTTCTTTAAAAAAAAAAAAAAGCTAGACCCAAGTGATTGTGGTATCCAAATTTATAATACAGATAGAACCAGAAATTGGACTCAGAAATGTAGAGATTTGGACCTAATAACTAACCAAACTATGCATTTGATTCTGGTGGTGTAATGAGACAGAGGCTAGCAAGAGCTAAGTAGCTTTTTAGCTCCTGATTCCACCCATCGCTCTTGAGTTCTCACACACAAGTTTGAGATTTGAGAAAAATAGCTGGGCAGTGGTAGCACATGCCTTTAATCCCAACACTCAGGAGAATTGATAGATGGATCGCTGTGAGTTCAAGACCAGCCTAGTCTAAAGAGGTCCAGGATTGCCAGGACTACACAAAGAACCCCTCTCTCAAACCAAAAAAAAAAAAAAACCTCACAGCTTCTCAGATGGTTATGTCTAAGTCATGAATTATTTATTCCTTGTCCAGCTTATCCATGCTTTGCACACTCCATGTCTAACCATTACTTCTTATCCATCTTGATTATCAGATTGATTGTCAATGTGTCACAAGCTGTTTTCCAATACCTTTATGTATATAGCAACTTAACCCTGTATCATCCCACTCTTCATCTCATTATGTAGGCATTGTGTCATCACTAGAAGAGGGAGCTCAGTAAAATTCTGTGAAGGTACATTCACATAAGTGTTAAACTTCATTTTAGGTACTTACATGTAGGAGTACACGTCTGTATAGGGTTCAGAACTATCCTCTCAGTTTCTGCCATTCTCTGGGGGACGTGTCTTAGAAGAAATCTCCATAAAGAGACCCACCATGTTTGTTCTTTGTACAAAAATTTTATGACTTATAGTCAAATCTGGATGGAAAAAAGATAAACTGTAATACATGAATAAAGTGGAATACTGCTTAGTAGTAAAAGGCAATGGACCATTTGTAGATGTAGTAACAGATGGGTCTCAAATAAGCCATGCTGATTGAAAGAAATGAGACACAGAAATGTTCATACTTTCCAATATTTTCCTTGAGACAGGATTTCTGTGTAACCTAAGGGACCTTGTTCCTGCCTCAGTCTTTCGAAGTGCTGGGCTCACAACTGCCAATGCCCAGCTTTTAATCTTAAATACAGGTTGACCTTCCCTGATCCAAAAAAAATCTAAAGTCTGAAGTGTCTCAAAACTCACAACATGAGTACCGTATGACACCACACAGGTAGAAAACTTGACCTTACCTAAAGCGCTGATAGACCACGGTCAAAACATAGATACAGAAGCTGAGAAATGGCTTACTAGTTAAGAGCACTGGCTACTCCTGGGGACCCAGATTTGGTTGCCAGCAGCTAAGTGGTGGCTCACAGCCATCTGTCACCCCAGTTCCAAGAGATCTGACATCCTCTTCTGGATTCTACAAGCACCAGATACAAGTACATACACAGACATACATGCAAACAAAGCACTCATAAAATACATTTTTAAAAAGGGGGTCAACAAATATTAGCAGGTACCTTTAATCCCAGCACTTAGAAGGCAGAAGCAGGAGGATCCTTGGGAATTCAAGGCCAGCCTGGTCTACATAGCAAGTTCTTGGCCAGACAAGACTACATTGTGAGACCCTATCTCAAAAAAGAAAAACGTAGGTGCAATAAAAATAAGATTATTTACATGTAAAGGCAGGTGCTGTAATACCAACACTCAGAAGGCTAAGGCAGGGGATTTCAAGTTAAAGTCCAGCTTTACCTAATCAGACTTTGTCTTGGGGTGGGGGGGAGGAGTTAAATAATCTAATTGTGGTATTCACACCCAAATGCTAGGAAGATTGGCCCAAGGACAAGGCCAACCTAGACTACAGGTGAGACCATGTCTGAAGCAGAAAAGAAAACCAAAAAAGTGGTGCTGGTAGAACAGGGCTATAATCCAAACTATTCTAGAAACTAGCAGAGCAAATGAGATCAGTGTCTGCCTTATCTACAAAATGAGTTTAGGGCCTGCCTAGATAACTTAGTGAGACCCTATATTATAACTATAATAATAGAAGCCAGGCATGGTGACTTGTACCTATAGTTCCAACTCTGAAGCAAGAAGACTCTGCCACAAGTTTGAGGCCATGATGGACTCCAGAATGAAACCATTATCTCAAAAGATAAATGATTTAAGTACTTTTATGTATATGGAACATAAAGTTTTCTGTGCTTAGATTTGAGTCTGTCCCAAAGAAAACTCGTTTTAAATAAAGATTTTTAACCTATACCATATGATAGATTCCCTTTTGGGAATTGAAACTCTTCTAGTCTAAAGCATTTAAGATAAAAGATAACAGGGATTGGAGAGATTGCAGTGGTTAAGAACACTGACTGGTCTTCCAGAGTTCAATTCCCAACAACATGATGGCTCACAACCATCTGTAATGCGATCTGATGCCCTCTTCTGGCCTGAAGGTATACATGCAGACAGAAGACTGTATACATAATAAGTAAATAAATCTTTAAAAGGATACCCTCCAGGAAAGGTGGTATACACCTTTAATCCCAGCACTCAGGAGGAGGCAAAGGCAGGCCAGAACTCTGGAACAAAAGTAGGGATTGATAGGAAAAGCACATGAGAACTTTTCAGGCTAGACAGGAAAGTCTTGAATTCGAATACACAGTCAAAAGTGTGGCTTCATGGGGGTTTAGAGAAATACAAATTGCAAGTTGTTGTTTGGGAGGTTGTGTGTTTTGGTTTTAGATTTTTGAAACCAAGCACCTTGTCCCACCATGCTATCTAGCTTGCTCCATACTTTAATTTCTAAAAAGTGCTAATGAAATTAGTATAATCTTAATCTATAGGATGTACTTCAGAGCAGAGAGGAGAGGAACATTGATAACCCTAAATACATCAATAAAAATAAATTTCTAGCCGGGTGGTAGTGGCAAATGCCTTTAATCCCAACACTTAGAAGGCAGAGGTAGTTGGGCCTACAGAGTGAATTCCAAGACAGGCTCTAAAGCTACACAGAGAAACTCTGTCTTGAAAAACATAAAAGTAGAAAATAGAAGTGGTCCCAGTGCTGCATTAATATACAAAATGAAGAAAAACATAATTGTTTTTATAATGAAGGGATAATACATAGCTTCTAAACTGATAAAGATAGCACAAAGAAATGAAAAGTGCAGATAAGACAGGGATATTATTTTAAACCTTGACTATGTGGTCTTTGGTTTTTAAGGAAATAACTTTTTTTGGTTTTTTGAGACAGGGTTGTTTTCTCTGTAGCTTTGGAGGCTGTCCTGGAACTCCCTAAGTAGACTATGCTGGCTGGCCCTCTAACTCACAGAAATCCACCTGCCTCTGCCTCTGAGTGCTGGGATTAAAGGTATGCTCCATCACCACCACCACTGGGCTCAGGAAATAACATTTTAATTAGGTTAAATTATACTACAGATACAAAGATGATTTCATATTTGGAAATATGTGTTACTTAACATTACTAGGTCTAAAGAGAAAAGTCTCTGATCTGCAAAAGCCTATAAACACCTTTTCTAATTAAAACATTGAAGAAACAAGAATGGTTTCATAGATGATTTTATTAATATTTTGTCTTAATAAATATGTGCCTTACACTGTATTGAATGTTTAACTAGGTTTGACTATAGAAAGTCATGAAGTATACATGCTTGTTAATCCAGTACTTGGTGGCGCAGGGGAATTGAGAGCTCAAAGCCAGCCTTAACTACAAAGAGACACTCCCTAAGTCAAATAACGATACACCTCAATCTTAAAACCAGCATTGTAATTGGGATTAGATAAAGAGCATTTCATAAGAATGATAAAGACCAAAGTAAGTGTTCTCACTGTCTCTGTTTAATGGCATGTATGAGCCCATAGACAGAAAAGGAGAAATAGAGGTGTAACAATGGAGAAAGACATAAAAGTTTCTTTCGTGGTAATGTAATTGTTTAATATGAAAAGCCCCAGAAATCAATGGCAAAACTATCTTAAATTGGACAAGATAGAATATAAAATGATAAATTTCCATGCACTGCAAATACACACAGTTACTGGCAGTAGAACTGTGCTAGGTATGGTACACACTTCCAGAGGCATAGATAGGAGAAGTAGGCGGTCATCCTCAATCTCATAGGAATTCAGAACCAACCTGGGCTTACAAGACAAAACCCCTTCTTAAAAAAACCTGCGGGCAGTGGTAGCATGTGCTGCCTTTAATCCCAGCAGGCAGAGGCA